TCAATTCCTTCCAGGACCCAATACTGTTTGGGGGAAGCGTCTCGAACCATCTCATCGCAGAGTCCCCCAAGCTCATAGGGAACACTCGGCATAGAAACCGTTGGTCCGAATGATAGAGGGACATCATCTGCTTATATTGCCTGATGTGGGCTTCGGGGTCGGACCGACCGTCATAGGTTTTGAACCGCGGCACGACGAACTTTCTTGAGACCTCCATCTCACTGATTTCCCTCGTAAAGGGTGTTTGCATGACTTCGTCCTCGGCCTCATCCTGGACAGTCTTACCCTTTCTCCTGGAGTCTAATCGGGCTCTGAGATCAACTTCTTCCCTGACGGGATGCCTTCTGAAGTCCCTGAGTTCATTGGTAAGCCCCTCATTTCCGGGGCGTCGTGTTGATTGGGTTGAGTCCTCCTCGGATTCATCTCCCTTCCTCCGTCTAGACAAACCTCGTCGGAGGTCGTCCAGGGCCAATGGCCTTGCTTTCCTGGACTGGTTGTCATGGTGATGTTCGCCGGCTCGGGGTCGCTTTGGGGCCCTAGAGCTTTCTGCTTTGTGGTCTAGGTGGTTTCTTAGATCCTTCGTTTCCGCCTCCCGGGCGGGAAGTCCACGGGAAAGGAATGAATCCCTCGACCCTCCGCCTGAGGCGGCAAACTCGTCGAGCCGGCTAAGGACGTTGACATTGTCCTTCTCCAGCTGACGTAATCTATCGCCAAATTTTTCTTCAATCACCTCCGTCAGCTGACGAGCCAAGGGGGCTGATCCCCCTGACCTGATCCCCATACTAGTTTGAGGGGTAACCCCTCTTGACCGAGTAGAGGCACTTTTATTCGTGTTGGTGTGATCCCTCCCTCCGTGATGACAGGGAGCTTGTAACTCGAGACTCCTTTGGTGGGGTCCTTTCCCTCTTTGTCGAGTGTTCACCATGGTCACTGTTCTTTATAGAGAGAAAACTAGGAAAACCAGTCGTTTCCCACAGACGGCGCCAGATTGTGCGTGCAAGATCCTGCACAATATAAAAAAACGGGAACAGATCTCTCCCTTGGTGAACTTCGGGTGGGCCGGTTGAGTGAACAAGCACGCTGCTTGGAACAGCCTGCAAGGTACGGTAGTAACCCGGAACGGCAACGGGAGATCCTGGGAAAGGAAGAACGATCCTGTGGGGATGAGAGGGGTTCCTGGAACAAAGAAGAACAAGTTAGAAGGGCGCCGGAGTGTTTTCTGGCGTATCCCCTCCGACGGTCTAGTCAGTCTTTGAGTGAGAGAGAGGAAGGAGAAAACACTGAGAAAATCGTATTATCGTAGAGAGTCTGTTGTTTTCCTACCCCTTTGCCTTTTGGGAGGAGTATTTATACCTTAAAAGCTCATGATTGCTGTCAGTGTGGTCAGTAGGTGATCATTAGGCACAGGTAGCGTGTGCATTGATTCTGATGGGGAATGTCTTCTCTAATTGACTGCTCGGGGTCCCGAGCAATCAATGCTGAGTCGTCGGGATGCCGACGGTACAATATGCTCCTCTCGGGGAGGATGCAATAAATGCTCTGTAATAGGAGCATTTATTGCCTTTCATTTCCGAGCCTTACCGCATTGAATGCGGTCTCATCAACAGAAGGGTGCAATTAATTGTTTGCTTTCCCAAGCCGCGTGTCAGCAACGGCGTGCAGTTTGTCTGTCTTTGATGTGACATCATTTGCCACGCGTCCATCCCCTATTGGCTGTGACCTCTGTATTCCAGTATGTTCTGACATTACTTGTGTAAGACGAGGTCATGATGAGCAGCCTAGACTAGCCTAGGCTAGTGACCTATACGTCAATAGCTTATCCTGGAGTAGAGGAAGCGTCCAGGACGGAGTAACTCTCGGCACCGAGGAAAGGCTTATCTCGGGGACCGAGGGAGGTATGCGACCGAGGTACATAGGTGACCGAGGACACGTGTTGGTTGTATAATATACTGAATGCATGATCCTATATGAGGGTACCTCGGGGGCGAGGACATTCGTTCGCCGATGGTGCTTGATCCAAGCAACAGTGTTTAGCAAAACCGAGGACACGTGTCTTCATCATAGGGCATTTCAGAAGAGTCCCATCATAGTCTATGAAGCACGGACATCGGACACCAACACTCTGGGGACACTATCGGATACATGTCCGATACTCTTTTAACTGTGTCTATAATTAATGAAAAAAATTTAATTTTGGACATGTGTCCGACACTTCTTTGGTGGGGTGTCCAATATTTCTTTAGAACGTGTCTACTACTAAACAATAAACATGTGTTGAAATGTGATTAACAAAGTTTAAAATTTTGAGAACATATAATTCCTATTACTATAAATAATAATGTTGTACTTCATATATAATAATAAAAACAAAAGATGTATAAAAGTTTTAAAAAAGAGGAATTGAGAAAATGAGAGTAATTATTTAAATTATATATTAGGTACAAATTGTCTACAAAAAAAATTAATGATTATTGACTACTATGATGATGCTTTGATCTAAAAACTCACACAAATGAAAATTTATTTTTGATATATTGGTCGTTTTGATTTCGATATTCAATCTTTGATTTGTTTTGGTGTACATGAAAACAAAAACATTTCAGTGAAAAAAAAAAAAAAATTTGATCTTTGGTTGATCGTGCACTGTGTCCAAATCAATAGTCAGGGGATAAAAGAAAATCAATAACATATTGAAGGTATAAGATATAATTTCAAGAACTTGAGAATGCCATGTAGAGAGAGATCAAAAAACATAATTTTTGAGGTATTAAAGCATACTTTGGAAAACTTGGGGGGACAATGGCTCCCCTAGGCCATTTCATGCCTCTGATCACTGCTCTTTGAGAGAGTTCTCCCTTCCTCCTGCTACCCCCTCTCCCTTTCCCAAACCAAGAAAGAGGTAAAATCTAGAGCATGGGATGGATGAAAAGTTTGTATTGTCCTGCTTGCTTCGACCTTCTACATGTATCATCATTTATAGACTTATAGTTCTCCAACTTGTAAGCATGTCATATATGGTTTTTGTAGCAGTTTCCCTTGTGTTATGTGTACTTTCCAGCCTTCACTGCCTTTTCTTCATTGTATATCGAACTTTTTGAATTTAAATAGTTGATTGTTTATCTCTTTTATTTTGGCATTATACTTCAAATTCGGTTGTCGAAATCACGTTATCTTTGTAACTTTGTGATTACAAAAGATATACTTGCCGGATCTTTCCTTCAGAAAAACTTTTGATTGATGATTTCTAGACCCACATGGTTTGCCAGTTTATTCTTGAGCCAGGACCATACTTTATCAGGATTTGCCAGTATATTCTGATTTAGTGCTAATGGAATAGTTGAACAACAATTTTCTGATTGGCAATACTTTACTGGTTCTCTTATGTCCTTGATGAGTATTTTGAAAATCTGAATAAGAAGAATTTGAAAGAAGCATTGCTATGTCAGTGTCTACTCTCTATATTTGGGATATAATATAAATTTTGGTTTGCATGGCATTGAAAATTTCATGGATATGATGGATGCTGAATTATGACTTTTTCCTCAATATGTCCTCATACTTATGCACATGTATGGCTTGTTCTGTCTTTATGTATAAATTCAGCAGCTTTTTGCTCAATTTCTCGTGGAGTAAAATTCTCATCAGTACTAGTCAAGGGGATGACCCCCCCCCTATAACTAGTCTAACGTAACCCCTCATGAGCAAATCAAATTCTTTGACTTCGAATGAGGATCTTTGCCATTGCAAATCCTCTGTTTCAGGCCTTAGTCCGGCCTTTACATGATTGGGTGATGGATGTTATGTCTATCTTGAGGTGGTACAATGTGTATTGAATTGTATGTCTGCATGTAATTTGTTTATGGTACTGTTTTGGATGGCGCTGTGGATTTTCACTTGCTAATGCATATTCTTTGTTCCACTTTCCTTAGCTATATACGAGAAAGAAAGATTCTTGATGGGATGTCTTTTTTAATTCCAGCTGGAAAAAGTGTGGCTATTGTTGGAACCGGTGGTAGTGGTAAGGCATCAGATGCGTTCTAATTGTTTTACCCCACTTGTTCTCTGTTTTGAATCTAAAGTGCTTTTTGATGCAAACTTCTCAAATGTTAATGGCTCATGTTTTATTTTTCTCCATGGTGAGATGATATATGTTTCTCTTCTCTTTCATTAGCCTGTATGAAATGAAGTTCTTGCTTAATTCCAAAGTCAGCTATGGATAACTCGGAGAACACTGAGGTTTTGTCTGGACCATGTTTGTTCACTAGAAAAAGGAAGGGGTTGATGATTTGTTGAAGTTTATACACACTACGATTACGATTTATAAGTAAAAATAATAAGAAAGAAAAACTTTGAAGAGAAGTTATTTTTGGTAGTGCATCCCCCACACCCAAAAAAAACAAAAAAAAAAAACACTAAGCCAACCTCATTTTGGTATGGAGAAGATATAGTGTAACAAATAAGGGTTAACTCTGTCGGAGGTCCCCCAAAGTATGCGCTGAATGTTATTTTGATCCCTAAAGTATTGAATGTGTGATTATGTGGTCCTTCAAGCTGACAGTGCTTAACTTAACATAATCCTAGAAAGTTTATTTATTGGAAAATTTACATTGACCCGTCAACAAAAAACTCAAACCCACTCTACCAACCCTTCTCCTCACCTGTCCAGGTCCTCTTTGCTTCCCAACCCAAGCTGCAAGATCTCCTCCACTCTCCCCTTGCTCCCTCTTCCCTTTCCAAACCCAATTTGCAAACCCCCCTCTCTCACTGTGTTGCACCCTGCCCATCACAACTACTACCATGGCAACCTAAACTGAGGTGAAACCCAACTCTAATGAAATCATTCAACACATGAAGGGCCAAGTGCATTGCTTACCATGCACTGCATGTTCCTTAACTCACCATTGCATCTTCAGCCCCACCATTTTCTCTAACTCATTTCATGCCAAACCCACCTAACTATGCAAATGACCAGAAGCAAAATGGCGGGGAAGACTTATCGGAAAAGCAATGACAGGGATGACCAAAAATTACCTCTACAAATCTCGAAACCCTTTTCAAAATTCAACTGCCAATTGAAGTCCAGACATATTTGCCACCCTGCACTGCCGGTTCATCAATGAAACACAAATCCAAAAAAATCCCCAACAATCATAATCCATGGCTAATAGATTCAAATTTCATGAATTGGGTTGAATTTGGATTGTATGTTTGTGAGTCGTGTGTGTATGTGTGCTCATGCTTCAGCAGATGTGCGAGTATGAAGAATGAGGACCTTCCATTGTGCACTGGAAACATTTGTTACGCTTCAAAATGAGAGATGTGGAAGAAGGATTGTACTTCTATCTTAGGTAAAGCATTTGCAGTGTTGTTGCTGCAAAACCAATGACCAAAGAGGCTGGTGGAATGATGGCAGACAGATTTGGTTTTTCCATTATGAGGATTCCATGAGCAGTTGAGAACTTTCGCCTTCCCTGCTAATATAAATTTATGAGCATATTATGTGTCATGCTCGAGCGATAATGGGTGTGAGGTGGTTCAGTTGGTGCTGGAGGGGTTGTGATTATGGTGGGTGGAAGATAGATAGATAGGGACCAAAATGACATAGAGTGCATCGTTGGGGGGACCTCTAGTGTAATTAATCAAACAAATAAATATCTAGGGATGGCATGACATGAGGCGGATAGTTGGCAATGGAGAAGTATTTTATTTTGGGACTACCAATAGATTTGGGAGAAACCATTATTTCAAGGTGGTTTTATATCTTTCAAGAAGTATGTTGATTGGTACATGTAAGTCAAAAGGTTTGTTGAACATGCTTAAATCTGGAGTGCGCGGAATTGTGTGCTCTTCTTCCAGATTTTTCAATTGAAATCATGTTGGATTGATGGAGGTTGAGAGCTTATGCAAGGAATCAACGATTTGTGACTATAATCTTTCATGTAGACGTTGTGCAGAGGCAGTAGTACTACTACGAGAGCTGGGACTCTAGATCTTTTTCTGAACTTAGAAAATTGAAGATTCCTTGTATTGTCCGGTTCCCTACGTTAAGGTTCTCAATTTATTTTTCTTTATTGTCTCCACTTTACTTTTTTGTTATGCCCATGTTCACAAGTCATTGATGTACATGTTTCCATTGATGTGCAGGGAAATCAACCATTCTTAGATTGCTCTTCAGGTTTTTTGACACCGATTCTGGACATGTAAGAAGAGATGCTTCTCTTATACACCTTTGTCTTTTGGCTATCATTATGGCCATTTCTAACTGGCCAAGTCCTGTGGTTAGTTCTTGATTTATTTTCTGTTATCTTAGTTTGCATGCACTAGGCCCAGGATTCTGATACAACTACAAATGTGGATCTGGAATACAAAGATAAGTAATAATTGCTCTTTTCACATGTAAATGGAAACTCTTTTTTAAGGGAAAAATGGAAAAATAATAAAAGCAAAAGAAAACACCCCTGTCCTTTTCAAGGGGGAATGCTGACACACATCTAGCCTTGAAGCAGCAGTCTTTGATCTATGTGTATATGTGCCATGTAGGGCTTGTTGTCAATTCTAACATTTTACTTTGGATTTCAAATTTCATCTCTTGGTGTATATTGGTGCCGACAAGGTGGCAGCATACACATGAAGCTTACACACTTGTTTGTGCGGTTTTAGCTCAAGCATTATAAATTGTGTATCCTCACATTTTGCCGGCTTGTAATTTTTGTGGAGGTTGATGTAATTGAACTGTCTGATACTGATACAACTAATAATAATGATTGTGTCTAAATTTTAATTGCTTTTTGGTTTTCCTCTTTCCCTAAGTGCTACCAAAAATTTGCTACTTGACAGATTCGGATAGATGGTCAAGATATACGGAAGGTGACACTTGAGAGTCTTCGGAAGCCTATTGGTGTGGTTCCACAGGATACAGTGAGTTGGCAGTTGCAACAAAATATCTGTGCTACGACTTTTCCTATTTTCTTAGTATTCATAAGTTCTCATAAAAAAGTCACACACATGATAAAGTCAGCTGCATTTTGGGCAGGTACTGTTTAATGATACAATATTTCACTACATTCATTATGGTCGTCTTTCGGCAATGGAAGAGGAGGCGCATATGCTTCTATGCTCAGAAAACCATGCACCATGTTAACTTTCGTCATGCTTCCGAATAACTTCTTTTACTAGGTTTATGATGCTGCTAGAAGGGCAGCAATTCACAACACCGTTATGAACTTCCCAGACAAATATTCTACGGCGGTAGGGGAACGAGGGCTTAAGGTAAGAAGCTAACTGATTTTTGGAAAAGTCATACTTTTGTCTCATGTTTATGGGGGGGGGGGCAAGATTAGACTGAAGAAAGCCTCATCTAGCACCTTGTTTTAAGGATAGGGTGGGTACGGCTTTGAGTTTGCCGAGTCTGCCTTGATATCAGTGTTTTCAGTTTTGTTCATTTTGGCTCAATCTTATTGCTAGAATTTATTTTTCATTTTTCATTTTTCCTTGGAGCCCGGGTTCTGGTATCAGCGTTTTCAGTTTTGCACTTCTAGCTCAATCTTATTGCTGGAATTTTTTTTTCTTATTGCTCTAATGTTTACTACCTGAAGAGATGTGTAGATAGGTCATATTAGGTGAAAATTACCATGGTTGATCAGTATACTAGAATCTCCCTCTGCATTATCTCAGCTGATTTTCCTTGCATTATCACATTTTCTTCCTGGCAGCTAAGTGGTGGTGAGAAGCAGCAGGTGGCACTAGCTCGTGCATTCTTAAAAGCACTGTCCATTTTTGTAAGTGCCATCTTCTTTACTCCTGATTGACATAGTGACAAGGTTTAATTTGTTAAAAATGTCTCCTATTTGAGTGCCCTCGATTAAGATAAACTGTTTGTGTGACACTGCATGTTCTGTGCAAGGTAATTTTCTTAGTATTATTACCTGTGCATGTAATGGAGGAACTGATGAACCTGTAATCAACTGAGTAAATAATTCAGGATCCTGATCCTCTACTCTCTTTGTTGTAAGTAAACCCTTCGTCAATTGAAATCTGGCATTAACTATGTCTTATGCATGTTCCATGCCTGTGATAGTGTTTGTTACGTCCTATGTATATGCTCACCACAAAGCCTGCATAAAACATGGTATGCTCCATGCCCGTTGTTGCCTTTTAGCTCATTTATTGGATACTGTTTCCTTAACGCCCAGCAATTTATGCACCTCTGCTTGGTAAAGCATGCTCCATAAGCAATTCCTCCCTTCTCCCACAATAATCGGCTCACTTTCAAGTACGTTTGCCCATCATTGACTTTCTTCTTTTTTTTTTCCTCCTGCTATTGCGGGATTAACATTCTGTATGAATGATGTAAGCCCATAGTGTGATGGAATCCATTAGTTTGTTGTTTAGGTAGGGTCTTACTTACACATAGGTGATTGGAAGCTTAGGACGAGGATGTACTTGCTTTATAGTAGAAGTTAACCATCATAATTATTGCTCTAAAAGAAAATGAAAAGGAGCCCTTCACTCTTTTTGGTCCCTTACTGCTATAATTTTAGAATTGATCACCTGAGTGCAAGTCATGCAAAGTAATAAATTTCTTGAGAGTTTGAGGTCGAACCACGAGAAATTGTGAAAACAAGAGACACAAAACAAATAAAAGGAAACTGTTTTGAACTTTATTTGAGTAATAATTTATCTAATAGAAGAAATGTGGGTTGGTTATAACAATAATTGAAATAGTAAAACATCGGAGATACCCTTTCAAATTCACACAGTAATTATTAATGATCAACTTTTCGAACTCAATTGAGAATCAGTTGTGGAGTGATCCCAATCGAAATATTTAGCGTTGATAATATGAAAACATCAAAAAGTATAATTAATGAATTATTTGAATAAATATAAAAATTTACTTGTAGATCACAAGTATTCATCGTGCCGAAGTTTATGATAAATTAAGATTTTTAATAGATAAAATTTATTTTATTGCAAATAATAAATCAACTATCTTATGATAAATTCTAATTAATTAATTCAAGTATGAAATAATCAGTTATTTGACTTGCAGAGAATTTCAAGCATTCGATATACATGGCACAATGAATCGAAAAATTATACAGAGCAAAAATTTTATTAAAAGACAATCATTAAATTAAAAGTATAAATCATTCATTAAAAAAAATTGAATCAATAATAAATATTGTGCTTTATTGAAAGTATTTTTCCTAGTAAGTGATTGAGATGGGAATTGACAAAAGACCCATAAAATAAAACAAGAGATGACATGTATACAATCTTCAACTTGATGGAGATTAAGTGGAAGATTTTGGAATTCAAAGTTGCTATTATACGGGTTTTTTTTTCACTTAAGCAACCCAAGTTTTTGTCTCTAATAATATGCGATTTTATATCTCAAAAGTGACAAGAGTGTCCACAAGTATTGTACATGTTTGAATAATCACAAAAACAAGGTGAGCCTATATCGACCAGTTATTGAATCATTGCAGTATTGTGCATGTTTAAATTGGGTAATTTTTTTCCAAATTTTATTATATATGTTATTTAAAGTATAGTTATCAAACATATATTTGATTTTGTTTATAGTAAAACAAAAATGCAATAATATTATTGTTCACTCATAAAAACTTTATTTTAAAAATTGTCAAATAGTCATACACCAACTTTTTAATTCTAAATATGGTAAAATAGGAGTGTGGAATCTTATCTTTTTTCCACAAAAGCTTATGCTTGCTAAAGTGACACCAGAACTACTTATTTTATAAATTGTCCACAATCTTCTCGGATGTGAAAAAGACAGGATCATCACTTAAGTCGAAACTAAAGAAATACAAAGTAATTGATGGGACACCACTTAGGCACATTGAAGCTAAAGCTAAACATTTTTGCATCCACTTAAAATATGGTGGGTCTATGCAAACTTCGGGTGCAGCTCCTCTGCTGTTAGTCAAGGACGGTGCCATTTTATTAAGTTTACACAATAAAATGTTCTTCTCAAAACAGACCCACCAAAAGACGTTGTTTTAATGGGTTTATACAGTGATTCCACAAAACAGACCTCCAAACATTAGACAGAAAAACAATTTACTTCTTTCTATTCTTCAACTTCTCTTCGTTTCTCACTTGCACTTAGTTTCTCATCTTCTTTGAGTGGCATCCCTTGCAAAACCCCTAATCTACACAGAAGCATCTTGACTATTTCCAGGCAGCCAAGGTCTACTCTTCTTGGTAGCAACAAGTATGGATTTTCATAGAAATCGAGCACGGACATTCATTTGGAAACACAAATGTCTTGAATCGCAATTCATTGTGAGAATTGCTTTCCATCCCTTACTCTTAACTCTTTGCCCTAAAATTGAATCAATTGGTAGAAACACCGTAACTCACAAAAATTTTAGCAATGGCTTGCTCTGCTTCTTGAATCGCAATCCATTGAGAGAATTGCTTTGTCTAGGTGATGCTCAAATCAACTTTGATGGGTAGAATAAAATTGCTTATGTTTCCGCCGGAGTGCCAAATTAAAGGTGTTCAAATTTTCGATTAGCTATAATTTTCTACTCTACCTGACCCTATTGAACGGTTAGTCGAAAAAATCGGATAAGCATGCAGAAGAGTTTTTGGTCTTTCGATTAAATCGGGTAGGAATGCAGAATAGTCATTAATTTTCGTTTCTACCCTACCCGCATTAATTAATTAATTTATTTATATTAAACTAAAAACTCTAATTCTCTAATCATATGGTTTAAATTTAAAATAATTGTTATTGTATTTGTGCAACAATTATGATGGATTGATGTTTATGCTTTCTTGTGTTTTATTGTAATTGTTTTAATTTTTAGTGTTATTGGTTTATTGTGTTGTTAAATTGGTGCATGTTATTTTATTGAATTGTTAAAATGATCTAAAAATTAATAACTACAAAAGTGTTCACCCGATTTCCTATCTAATTAATTTGGTCAGAAGTCCTGTGGTAATACCACACTTGATCGGGTAGGATAGACAAAGAAAAAAAAATTTCGCAAAGCATTGGGTTAAAAGACAAAAGACTATATTTCCTATCCGTAGGATAGGATGAAGACCCCTATGCCAAATCAAGAAAACCTTCCAAGCAATTTTACTGAGTCTTGCCGATGCCCGAGTCAATGTCCACATAAGGTCTTGAAGTTCAGAGGGAGTTGAGTCATACTCCTTAAATGGACCCATTTGATGATTTTCCTAGAAATTGTTACAGTTGAGAGCTGCCATTAACGTTAACAGTGCTCATTCATAGGCAACAAGATCAGGTGGTGCATTGAGGACGAAGAAGCCGGTCTTGTCTTCGTCATCGCTGCTTCTTCTGAATCTCTTGCTCCTGCAAACACAAACAGAGTAGAATCCAGAAGCTTTCGATAGAGGTTTGAGAGAGAGGGGGGGGGGGGGGGGCTTTAGAGAGAAAGAGTAGGTAGGGGACGGTTTTGAGGTGTGAACAATGAAGAAGGCAAACCATGGAACAATAATTTGGAGCTGTAACTGGGAGAGACTGAGAGTGTTAGTTTTGTGAAGAAGAGAGAGAATTTCACCTTTTTATTTTTAGTGAAAATTTTTACCCAAAAAACTTATTGAAACGGTGGTATTTCGAACTAACAGCAAACTGTGCCGTTTTTATGGAACAGCAGAGGAGCCGTCGTGCTCGCAAACTTCACAATCTTTGGTGTTTGAACTGTAATTTTCATTTTTCAACATGCATATACAATACGGGTAGTCCACTGGTGTGGGATTACTTTGAGATGTACGATAAATTCTTTAGTTTAAGTTTCTTGATCACTCTCAAATTTAAGCAATACCTATGTTAGTCGGTGAATACAAAAGTAATTGATGGGACTCCAC